CTTTACCTTCTCTGTGGTAAATGTGTAATCACTGCTGTGATAAAAGACTGCATAACCAGCAGCAGAGTTCAGGCAGCTGATAGATGTGGGGGATGCAACTGATAAGCCTCATGTTTTTATTAATCTTGGCAGCTCTTTCACCTTTGAGCACCACCAGATAAGCAAACACAACCCCTTCAGACTCCTCAAATTTGTTACTAGACTGCAAACAGTCATTATCACCATGGCAAAATTTTCCTAGATCTACCAGCAAACAGGGGGGCTGCTTCTCAACCTGAGAGCCCCCAGCCTGCCACCTTCCTCCAGATTCCAGTTTTGGAAATACCTAGGTGAAAAAGCACAAAAATTCACCAACAAAGAAAGATGTGGAAGGGCAACAAGGACAGAAGCCTGAGGTGCATTTCTCAGTAAACACCAGAACCAATTACAGCTACAATTTGTGAATTAGGAATTGCACCTGACTGCATGCCGTTGACAGCCCCACAGATCCATTTGTAACTCACTAAGAGAGTACCAAGTTAACACAAGTCGCATAATGTAGCTCTGAATACGTGAAATGAAAGCAGCAAATGCAGAGCAAACTTTAGAGATAATAAAGTACAGGACTGCTGCCAACAAATAGAAAGAGAGAGTAAAATTCAGGAACATTCATCCAAACACCCAACATGGGAAGGCAATTCCCATCTGCAACACAAGGTTCAAGCCTCCTGAACACAGAAATTACATCACAGCAGAAATTAAAATCAACGTGCAACCCACCTGAGGCAGCTCCTTGTGAGCACAGTTTACTCCTCCAATTGGAATGATGTTGGGCATCAAGGGTCTTGGATAGTCTAGCACAAATTCCAACCTCAAGAGCCAAACAGAGCCCTTGCGTAAGAGATCCTGCACAGTCACATCGCGCTGCAGGAACTCTGAAGCCAGTTTTGAGAATTGGTCAAAGGCAAAATTACAGAGGAAAAGGTTTTGACTGTCAAAGAGCAGATTCTTCACTCGCTGGAAAAAGGTCATGCGGTCTGTCAGGTCTGAAAATGATCTGGGCACATAGGAAGGAGGATTGGGACACTGAGTGGCTTCAAAATCTAACCCACATGGGATTCCTCGTAAGAAATAGATAGAAGGAAGGGAAAGATGCTCAGCCAGGATCACCCCACAAGGTATAACAGGGTCTGTAAGGATGGCATCAAACTTGCTCTCCTCAAGAAATCTGATGAGCTCTTTGTTTTGCAAGAGATGTTCACAACTGCTGACTGCCAAATTACCAAGTCTTTTCATATGTTGGTACAATTTAGGAAATCTTTCCAGAAAAGATCCTTCTTCTAATGAAGCATGTAGAAATGCCTTGAAATCTTCCTCCATCTCTTCCTGTGTGATGGGGCCTGAGTGCCGTTTCATCACAAAGTTCTTTGATGGTTTGATGTGCA